AAATGGATGTTGATTCTGACATGTATTTAGTAACATCAGATAGAGAATAAATAGTACTACACGTTAACGTCTCAAAAATTTCGATAAGACGCCGGTTTAATTAACATCGAGGTACAAAATTATCATCTATCATAACTGGTGTTATACAAAGCTTACATATTTTTTGTTCCTTTACACGGATTGTAAATAAATACCTAGATAAGTATGGAAAATTTCAGATAGTCATCTCATTTACGAGTGGAGTAAAGTTCACCCTAATTAATGAAGAACTGCTTAGGAACCTGTCCGGGACCTCGCGGCTCTCAAGCACCACCTTAACTTAGCGTTCACTGAGTGCATTAACTTAGCGTTCTAATAAACTTCAACAAAACGCTGACATCATAAATATCTTCTGTATAAAAAATGAATTTTTCAACAATCAAAAACACAAAATTCATATTTTTGGTCTCTTTTACATTAGTAGAATGAAAGTGAGCGTTCCGACGCTGGACTGGATAAGATTGAGCAAAAATGCAACTCTCTCTATTAAGAAGAGAGAACAGGAAAGCATTGGACTTGCTGGTATAAGGAAAATGATACTTGCTAATACTTTGACAGTTATGGCTTAACATATCCTCCAGAGTTTAAGAGGTACATGGACAAGTGCTGTAGCGAGCCAGCATTGGCCTCGCTTTAAACGCTGTTAGTTTTCTTTAGCCGCCGCACCTCTCTGACAGACTGAATAGAAAAAGTGTGCGTAGCTAGTTTTCTCGGGAAGCAGCTGATTGCGAGTAGGCAGCCTATACTTGCCTGAAACCCCACTTTGTAATGTCTGTAAATACCTGTATTTAACATCTGTATAGCGTCTGTATTGGTAAACTTATTTGCCTGACTAACCATTCTTTGTAACGTCTGAAAACTTCTATAGGCTAGGTCTTGGTGAGCTTTTGTAAACTTATATGCATTTAGTTTATAGACCTGTATCGTGACTGAGAATTCTCTACTATATTAAAATATACCTTGTGGCCTTTGAAAATTCAGATCTGGTTTAAGTAATCCTCGGTATGTTGGGGCCCGCAAGCGGAGATCCAGTAACTTCGTATAAGGAGTGTAGTTGTCCCGCTACAATTCAATATTTCTGATCAGCCAATATAGTATCAAAAAATTGGTGATGTGATTTGTGTGCACTTATGCCAAGATTTTTACGAGAATGGGTATTAAAATTGTATTGTTTATTTTCTTTATAAAATGAAATGTTTTATAATCTATAGAACTAATTTAAAACGTTTATCAAATTTCAAAGATAGTGATGAAGATATCAACTGTCCAATTGAAGTATTCCCCTGAGAGCCTTTGAAAAGCTCGGTTATAACTCTTGGAATTGAAAATTCTACCAAACTGTGCTGATAAGCTCTCTTTTAATACTACTAATAAGTTCATGCATCATTAATTATAATCCTACTAATATCTCAACTAATAATCATAGTCTCGTGTCTCCCCAGGTCGGGAAGGTCAAGATGGCTAAATTCCTTCCCCTGATTCTCGCCGGAATTTTGACCACAGTGCTCCATGAAGCCCAGGTCATTATAATTAACTTTGGTAAAATTAAGAATATTAATTTAATAAGATCCTCTTGTGAATATGGTTAACATTGGACGTTTTTATACAGCTAGAGTACAAAACTAACCCACATGCCTCAAACTGCTTGTGAAATGTCAAGTTGACAAATCGTAAGTTGCTTATTGATCTGTGATAGCTAATGCTGGATGAATTAACCTTTTTCCTGTCCACAGGCGAACCTGCCTCCAGGCCCTGCTGTTGATGTGAGTTGAAACAACCATCATAAGCATATAATTCAACTGAAATTTATGAACCTATTATTGCGTTGAGATTTTATGAACATTAAGATATAATTCCCATGCATGAAATATAGGCTTTGCTGTGACACCGTAAGTTTGTTTTTGAGCAACTGTCTCAACTGTTTTCTCTTACCAACATCAATATTCTAGTATATATTCACCATTTTAATAATTACAGGTGCTTGTGACTCCCAAAGGCCCCATGGCAACTTGCAAGAAAACCAAAAGGTCGGTCGTGTTCCAGTCCATCATGTCTAAGAAGGGAATCATGTATAGCCGCACATACACTTACCCTGCGATATTGAAATGCTTCAAAAGCTCCCAACCGAGCGCGGCCACCTTCAGAGACTGCGTCAACGCTGCCGCCTTGGCCGGTGAGTTGGCTACTGCCTTTGTTATCGCCGCAGAACTGCCATTTACCAGGTATTATTGGAATGCAATAATAATTGACCAATGCTTCTATGGAATAACATCCTTACTAACCGCCGCAACGTTTGCAGGACACTCCACCCTGTCCTTCGATGGTACCACCTGCTCCACATACAACGCAACCGTACCGAGTCATGCATGTGCCGACCAGAAGGCAGCAGCGGCAAACTACATAGCCATCTACCAGGCCAACCCACCTCTGGTCAAGCCAAATTTCGGTGGGTGCGATGGAATAGTGAAATCCACCTTTGGTCGAGCCCAATTTCGGTGGGGACGATGAATTAGTCCAATCCACCGGTGATTCAGGCCAGTTACGGTGGGAGGGATGAATTCATGTTCCTGTGCGGGAGTGGTTCTGAACATTGCAGTCGCAGGCCTTGCTGGCACGTTGTCTTTTTCTCTGGCCAACTTCGTGTGATCATTCATTGTGCCTAGTGACAAGTTTAGTCTTTTGACGGCCTCCAGAGCGAACAACTCCCGCTCCTGTTATCTTCACATTGAAGACGTAAAACAACCTTGGTCCCGCTATGGAAATGGATTGCTTCAACAAACTGAGCTCAGAAACCAAGAATTTGGTCGGATTTAGAGTTGTACACAGTGTCTTCTCTCATTGTGATATTATGGCATCCCGAAGATTTCGTTCCTTCGCATGAAGATTCACTAGACCGCTTCTAATGGCCACACTGCGCAAACCGTGAACAGCTGACAGCAGTACTCGATGAGAAGGATCACATTTGCTTTGACAAGCGTGATCATCAGTTCCGTTTCTCCTGTTCTGAATGTCCACTAGATCCACATTACTTTTTGCCTGCTTCTTGCAGTTTGTGCTCCTACACGTCACCAAACGTGTCATTAGTACTCTTCGTCACTGCGCAGTGGGATTCTGGCTTCGCCCCCAATTTCTGTGCAGTCTGGGGCCAAGTAGTTGTGTTCTATCTCGACTCATCCGCTACCACAAATTGAGGGTGAATTTTGCATTTTGTTCGCAGTCTATATGTTGCAGACAGATCTTCTTGCAAACTCTCGCAAGTCTCCTTGCCCACCATTGGTCAGTCCAGTTATGGTGGGTGCGGTTCATTGCTGCAACCACTCTAACCTTAATTTAGAAGACATACCAATGTAAAAAATGCATACCAATGCAAAAATTCCTATTTTTTCTAGTCAATTAAAGGAAAGTATGAAATGACTCTTTTAAATAAACGCGTTTCTTCCTATTTTCAACAGGAAATTTCAAAGTGTTGACGGTGGCTGCGACCCGGACGGCGGATACGAATAACAACTTCGACGTGACGTGGACCGCAGAAGATGGTGGCTGCAACTACTCTGGCTTCGTCGTCAGCTTCTCCGGCCAGGAGAAGTACGTCGAAACCACTTCGTCCCAGACGACGATAGAGAACATCCCAGAGTGCAGCAGCACAGACGTCACCGTCTCCTTCGGTCTCCCCACAGGAGAGAAGTTCGGTACCACCGCCCACACGGCGGTGACTACCATACCAGGTACCACAAATGATGGTTGTTGTTGTGGTTCCCCGGTCTCAATTTTACAAGAGACCCCCTCGCGCAAGTACGACACCACCGACAGGGGGTCGCTCCAGAGCTGTAGGGTCGAGGTTATGTGGTGGTATTGTCTGAGGTCCTGCCAGAGCGGACATTCCAGGAGAATGTGAGTGATTGTGTGGGGGAGCTCTCTGGCAGGATGGGCAGGTGTCTGTGTCTGCTTGGCCTATTCACATTCATTCATTCATTCATTATTCATTCTACAAATGATGGTAGATATAATCAATATTTTACCATGAGTACTATATAACTACATGAAATTGAGTATTATATAACTTTGGTTCGGACTATGTTGCTCTGATGCAGACTATTTAGTTTTGTTGGGACTATGTAGCTTTGTTTTGGACTATGTAGTTTTGTTTTGGACTACGTAGTTTTGGGAAAGATTCATATTGGATAACACGAGGTGATTTAGTTCAACATGTGAACATAAAAATTAATTGTTATCATGTAAAGCCACTAATTTTTCCTTAATGTTTCCATCTGATTTGAGTGAATTAGTATTCAACTCATATGTGCTCAGGAGTTCAAGCTAATAAATATGAATGGGTCAAGTATTAGCGTACTATTGTGTATTGTGCATACTAATAATAAAAGGACATAATATTTGCTTAATACTGACCCACTTTCTGTCCGTTGCACTGATACCCTGGGTCAGGATGACCCACACAAGACCAATATTACCACTAAGTTGTCTTCTATTGAGCAGAACCTCAAGAGTACTCGCCGTTCAACGAGGTACCGGGATACACACTGGAAGTCAACTTGTTCCCGAACAAAACGATCATCGTATCTTACGACGTAAGGCTGTAATATATATCTTTATTTACTTATTCTTTCCATTTCATTGCTCTATGTGAATGTATTATTCACTTGTATTGAACATGCAGTCTTGGAGGCATATTTTTTCATTAAACAAAGCTTCAGAACAAATAGCAACCTAACCTGACATTCAGCCTTAAAATTGCTTGTACACTAGGACAGTAGTGGCGACCAATACAACACAGGGACAGTAGTGGCGACCAATACAACACGGGGACAGTAGTGGCGGCCAGTACAACACAGGGACAGTAGTGGCGGCAGTACAACACGGGGACAGTAGTGGCGGCCAGTACAACACATGGCGGCCAGTACAGCACGGGGACAGTAGTGGCGGCCAGTACAGCACGGGGACAGTAGTTGGCGGTTAGTATTTTATAGTCATACTGGGCGCCACTAATGTCTCTGTATACAATCACTTTTAACTCGACCTGTTTGGTAGCCATTGGCCATTAAGTTTCATTTGCGCACCCACTTATTACCACCCCCATCTCTAACTCTGCAACCGTTGACCCTACAGGTTTCCCCTGGCTGCGGTAGCTTCACCAACTTCAACATTCAGTTTAGCATCGATTACACGAACGCATCGCGCCCTAATCCGGATCTTGACTTCCCCATATCGAAACCAAAAGGCACCATCGTGATCGGAACTGCGGATGTGCCTGATATTTGCCTGGCTTTCGGGGTCCAGATCGTGTACACCCAGACGACGGACAGCGGAGATATCACTGATGGCAATACGTTTCAGTGTAAGAACCCAAAATTAGAGGTCCAGCTAGAGAACATTCATCATTAATTATAATTCTGTTATGATATAATTCATATAATTCATATAATTCATATAATTCATATAATTCATATAATTCATATAATTCATATGATTCATTAATTCATATAATTCATATAATTCATATAAATCACATAATTCATATAATTCATATGACTCATATAATTCATATAGTTCATATAATTCATTCAACAGACTCGCTCTACGACCCTCTCATAAAGGATGTCATTATTTTACAGTACCTCTCGACGGACTCTATGATGAAAACCTGTACTCCTACGAAGTGGGTGCGTCTGATGTCTTCTTCCACTGGCCTACTAACCTGACAGCTTACGACTTCTGTGGCGTCCTCCCCGGTACCACACTGGCAATCCAGAAAAAGTCCGGTGGTGGTAACATTTTCACGGCGCCAATATCTGCTGGCAGCATCACACTCACCGACCTGGCATCTTCGCTACCAACATATGTCGTTGTGATGGATGCTAGCTTAGGCGTTATTCTGGCAGAAGTCTGGGTAAGTTCAATGAGTCCACAGGGCTTGTCAGTTTAATTGTTCTTTAATCAAGTAACAGTAAGGAATGAAATATACAATACAGTTAGGTAAAGAGGTAGATCTGGGACAGGTTGATCAAGGGTAGTTTTCTGTGGAGAGCGCATTCATTAGGTCTTGTTGGTAGCTAAATAGAGGTTTCTTCTTACCGACGAACAGCAGATTTAGTGATGTGCCTATTGTCACTCTACTGTTATCATTCCAACTTCTCCCCCATACCTTCTTCTTTTTACCTTTATTTTGACAATATAGGTTAGCGAATAGCCCTTCCAACAACACATGTTAACGTCCAGTCCTCCTGACAACACATGTTAACGTCCAGCCCTCCTGACAACACATGTTAACGTCCAGTCCTCCTGACAACACATGTTAACGTCCAGTCCTCCTGACAACACATGTTAACGTCCAGTCCTCCTGACAACACAGTCCAGTCCTTCCGACAACATGTTCAAAACTTTCAAACCCAAGAAGTAACAAAGTTTTCCTCCTGATTTGGCGATTATTGTGAACACCTTATAGTTGTTTCCGTTTTTTTCCATCACGAATACCTGTGTTCGTGGTCTTCCAATGCAATAGTACCAGATTACAAATGTGCTCTTTCGTTGTACAGTTTTGATGTCTCAGGCAGGTCATGGTCTGCATGTGTGTTGTTAAATTTTTGGTTCGTTTACAGGTCTGTCAAGGGGCCGGCTGTCCTTAAGCGGTTCACTGCTGGCGTTCTAGAGCGATTTTCTGCAGCGGTTCATCATGAACTGCACCCAATGGAACCCTGCATGCCAAGCCATTACAGTTTCTAATCAGGAACTGTAGGCAGATGAGAACCAGCCCAGTTAAATAAATATTATTGGTGCAGAAGCAATGTTTTATTGACAATTATAGACGGAGATTAACAAATTTGTCCATAGGTAGTTACACTGGCGTAAATGGCTATACAACCACCCGGTTTTTTTCTGAATAATTTTTCTTGCATAACAAATACTAGATTAAAATTATACGAAGTTAAACTACGTTTAAAAACGGTTCCAACGCTGTACGAAAAAAAAAATCAAAATATACGAGAAGAAATGACAAAGCTCATGTAACATACGATGAAAAAGAAAAAAAATATAACAGTATGCAATCAAACACTAGTTTTGCTGCAAATCGTAGAGCTGGATTTAGTACTTTTGAGGTCGATGAGCCTCGCTTTTTGGTGGCTTCCGCTCGTAATTGACCTTTCAAGTTTGGGTTGATGTTTATTTTGCCGTTGTTCTTTAGTTTCAGCAATGAATCGTACAGCAGTTCGAGTTAAATTTGTTTCTTGGTACGGCTGAATTTGGACGTAACATGGAAATTCAGTCCGAGATTTAGGAGTTCCTTTTGCTCCTTGGTCAAAGTATGAGAGGAAAGGTTGATGTAGCCTTCAGTTGAATGCGGTAGACAGATTTCGCCTCTGTACAGTCGATTG